TTTCGTGTTAAAAACGTAGAAGTCAACACTGTACGCGGTACAACGTTGATTGTTTACAAACGAAAATCTACCAGATATTTAATCTGCTTACTTTGAGGAAAGAAGTCCCCTTTGGGCTTGTCGTTAACTTTACATTGTCATTCCTTGAAGTAAAACAACGACCAACATGAAAACTGCTGCCGCAAATTCGACGCTAAAGAGCTAAAACTCTTGAAATCTTGAAATCTCGAAATCTGTTAAGTGAAATCTTGGAATCTTGATAGCTTTAAAATCTTGAACTGAATTAATAAATCTTTAAAAACGTCAAAACGTCACTTTATTTGTTCCACGTCGTGTGCTTCTTGACCGTTTTAAATTTGACTTTAATTTCCAAACCATATATTTTAACTTCAACGTTTCGTCCAAAACAGTTGCTTAAATAGAATATCTGTGCTCGGTAAATATGACCAGAGAACACTACTTTTTTTGTTTGTTTCAAAATAGTATCTCGATATTACTCACATTTTGTTCCACACACTAGTGCTTTCATCTTCACAAGTTTCTTAATACTGTTAAAGTGGCCTTATCAGTTCTCCTCAGACCACGTTAACCGCTCACTTCTGACTAACCAGCTGGCTGCGACATCACAGCAATTTAACATTGCAAGAAATTAACTGGCTCTAGTCATTTTTGTTCAAATTCCACCCACGCAATGACTACCACATCGCTTGCAAAGAGATCGATGGCAATCCGTTTGACGGTTTTATTGGGCGCTATTCAATTCCCAGGTCGTGGGCGAGTACGTAGCTGCCTACTCGCTAAACTAGGCTGATTTAGCCAGAGAACGGGAACGTCAGTCGACGACGGCGCGCGCAGAACAAACACCCAAATATGGTCAAATTAGACCAGAATCCAGGAAATTCCGCGCGCCCTGCAGTCGTCATCTGACGATATTTGGGTATTTGTACTGCGCGCACCGTCGTCAAGTGACGTTCCCGTTCTCTTGCTACATCAGCCTAGTACTCTGACAGGTACGGAAACCTTGTCAATGTTGCTGTAATAATTATAAACAGCTGTACTGTCAGCACTAGGGGAATATGCATCACTATACTATATTCTTTTGTTTTGGGGATTTCGAAAATAAGTCGTTGTACTACACGATTAAACAAGCTATTTATTTAACTGGTGCGGTGCAGAACAAAAGAGTTCTCGGAAAGGCGTTGTAATATAATTTGGAAGAAGTAAAGGAAACTGTTCTCAGACGACCCTAAATCTCCTTTCTGTTTTTTTACCCAAAATCTGGACTGTCAAATCAGATTTTAGTCTGATTCAGGAAACCTATTTTCACAAGAAAAAAGCCCAGGTTTGATAACTAGTTGAGCGTTAATTGACGAAACTGTTTTTTTTTTTTTTTGCGGGGAATCATCAAGGAGTCTGGAGAGAGGATAAATCTACTCTGGGTACCGGACAAGGGAGGGGAGGCATCATACTGTCAAATTTTTTTTTTTTCCTTTCCTCAGAAGTAATTCGCCATGTGAAGCTCTCTGTCCAAAAGAGAGATTACTCCCAGACTACAAGCTTTGCCTCTGAACGTCGACGAACTGGGCACTTTTATATGTCGTACCTAATATATACCTAATATTCTTCTTCTCGCTTTTTGCTTTTAATTTGTTGTTTTACATAATAAATAATTTCTGCTCGCACACTGAATGGAGAATGGAATGAAGCCTTCCAACTCTGAAAAGCAGTTTCTTCCATCTTGTCAAATTGACAGTGCAGTGTTTGGGATGAACACATATGCAGCGAGTGTCCTACAGCTTTCAAGCTTAGCGAGAGCGAAAGTCGCTTAAAGTTCAAAACTCTCTCGAGGTCGCGTTTGGCGAAAACTCGCGACGAATGTCGTGCGTTTGTATTCTTGATCTGAATATTACGAGGTTCAAGTTTAAATGAGCTAGTCCATCAGAGGAAATTGACTAGGGCTTTTGAAAACTGAAGATAATGTAAAAAACGGGATTTCAACGTGCATTATTTATCATAATTATGAAAGGATCAAGTACCTACCCAGACTGGAGTGTACGTACACACGCTCCTATCCTTTTGTTTCATTTGATGTTTTCTTTACTGCACTGAACGTTTCCTTATTCAATTCAAAATAATGCACCCAAGACGACTGAGTTTAAAGCGCCGATAGATTAGCGGCTTTATCACTCTCATCCTTTCGATTACGCTCACCGGATAAAGGAATGTACTACATAAACTGCGGTAAATGTTGCCCCGACAAAAAGCAAAAGGAGACCGCCTATTTAGTATGTTACAGAGAATATCAAATGATTCATGTTGAACCATGATCAGTCCTCAGCTCAGTAAGGTTTTCTTCAATTCTAAGTTGACTCCCATCCTGTTCTTGTTCCAGGCTGTGCCGAATATACTGATTCCGCCCAAAATAATAAATTTTTTTTTCAATTTCGCGTTACGAGCTCAGCAATGTTTACATAAAAGACCATGTTGGTTTGCAGTATTATTTTTATCAAGTATAAGTAAATGAATGTAACATATTTTAGCATTTTTTTTGGTCGTGGAAAAGGTATAATGAGTACTTTATTCTACGCCGACGAGGATTATCAGCGAGGTTCCTGACAGATTAGTTTTCATTTGTCATTAAGCGGGCCTTGTAATGTAAAATCGCATTTTCCTTTTAATTCCAGGGTCAGAGAAGTAAAATGAAACGTGAACGAAGAACTACACATCAAATCGTAGCCAGAAAAAATACTCGATGTCATAAATACAAAATTTACTTATTGCTATCATTACCCGCTATTGAAGTGATGAACATAAGTGTGCACTGAACTGTTTTTGATATGTATCGCTGGAAACTATACAGCACGTATGTCCAGTAAGTGATTATTTTGTTACAGACCAGGAGACTATAATCACCGTCCTTCTCAGATGTAAATATTTCGCTTTTTCATGCTATATCTAAAACAGAAATAGAACATGCCGTTCCTTTGTTTTCTAAGAAAATAATGATCTAGAAAAACTGCTAAACGCACTCGCGTGTCACTCGCACGTCCACTAGCAGTTTTTCTGAACCTCGAGCTTGCATTATTGTGTTAGAGAACGTTGAACACCATCGTATATTTGAGAATTACATCTTTGTTTGCAATAGCCTTCAAAGAGGCTCTCACGCATGTGTACATGCGACGTCATGTTGACGTACGTTCCGTTAAAAATGGCTGTTACCGATATACACTAAAGTTTACTGTCTAAAAGATTCGTAAAAGGTTCTGTGGTTCCTCTCATTTGGACCCAAGATTTGTAACTTATTTTACGGAGTTATTGATCTCACTTGTATCTTTAACTAGCATTTAATCATCAAGAGCAATCGGTCAACTTTAAAGGAAGTTTGAGGAATTGAAATTGCACTTTGCTGTGATTCAAAATCAATGCGCAGTTAGTGTGAACCGCCATTTTTGCTGTTAGTTATTGGCGAAAACTTGGTAGAATATTGAAATTCTAAAGTTGACGAAGAGATTCGTGGCGAAATGGTTCTTGAAAGCTTGTTACGCCCATGTATTTATTTCCTTGAAACTTCGCAGTAAATGTTGCTAAGATTTGTTTTGTCATTTACTTACTTTCAGTGCAATTCTCATTAGGAATTTAGAAGCCCTACACTTATTCACAAAGAGGTTCACACACACTTCTTTATCTTGTACTTATCATTTACATGTTTGATTTGTTTTTTACAGTGAAACGCCATATTTACTCAGTCGTTAGTCTGGACATCATTTGTGGAAATCCCACTTTGCTAGGCCCAAAATGTTTTCCCATTCATTGCCTCGTGTTGTTTACATTTCTTCCTGAGGTTAACTTCCCAGTAGGAATCTTGAGCCAGGGCTAAAGATATTTCATAGCACTTTAATTTATTCATCTACCACCTACCATCTATCAGGATTCCGACGTGTAAACATACATGTTTGAAAAATAGTTCATAGAGCTCATATTCAAATGTTTAAAAACACACTGTTTATGGTTTACTTTAAGGTTTAGGTTACAAATCATTAACCGTAATCGGCTCACTAGTAACACAAAGTAATTTTACTCACCCCTAGGTAACACGGATGTGTTTTATATTTCATCTGCTATCTTTTAGTTTGACTTGTACACTGAATAACCGTAGCAACCTCAGCAAACAGATCTTCCAAGGTTTCTAGCGCCATCTTGTTTGGGTGGCAAACACGGCGAAATTATATTGAATACATGGGAAAATCTAACATCTAACAACTCACCGAAAATTCGAGTTCTGAAATATTTATGAATTTAAAACTAAACATATCAGGTAAAATAATATACTCATCAAATTTGAAGGAAATAGCCTTGCTAGAAAAGCCGCAATTAAGGCTTTATGTTTTCCACACGCTTTGTTTGTAAAACCGGGTTGCGCGGGAAAACTTAGAGCCATTTTTGTGAAAAAAAAAAAAGTAAAAGTCCAATTCCTCACCTCAAAGCAAACCAATGATCTTCAAATTTGATCAAAAATACCTTCTGCTGTTTATCTTTTCCTTGTAGCTCACAAAATCTTTAGAATGTCAATCGCTCTCAAATTATTGAGCATCGAACTTTTACCTTTATATGTAATTTTTGCCGCGTTTGCCCCCAAGCAAGATGTCAGAAACCCATGAAAAGGTCCATTGTATATCACTTCTACTTTATTTGTAGCAAAGCTACTTCCAATTTCAATGGACAGTTGTGATGAACTTGTGAACGGGAAATAACGAATATATACTGCTGACTGATGAACTTTTACGTATTGAGGTTTACTGGGTCCATGTTTAGACAAATAATGAGAAATAGCGCCGAGAATTATTTCAGGTTGATGTTCTGGTTATGGCATTAAAAAGTCAATTTGAGCTTTTCTTTACCATTTTTCCTTCCTCGAAGTGTTGTTCTTTTCATTTAAAGCAACGTGTTACTTTCTATTTTTTCAAAATATTGTAAATGATAAAGATACTGGGAACTGTCACCTGAAGACATCGAGGCGAGTACCCAGCAACCACACCAAAGTTTTGCAGGTCTTCTATCCTGTTTATTGTTCTTGCATACTGTTCACAGCTTCGCGTTTTCAAATTACCCTTTGAATGAAAGATAGTATCATTTCGCATAAGTAAATTAAAATATGGTTCAATTACACAAAGTCATATATATTTAACTCCTAAAAGCGACATAATTATTGCGTGGTAAAACAAGAAATTCTATCACGCACTTGAGAATGCGTGCATAAGATTGCGATTATTATGGGGTTAATAGGTAAGAGTAAATCTGATATTTTGAAAGGAGATAAAAACAAGGGGTAGAAGCATTGACTATACGGTCAAATATCAACTGAAGAGTAAGTGCTCGAAATATGTTTCGGTGGGATATCTAATAAGTCAACACGCTTAGTAAAATGTTATCAGTTCCATCATTTTAAACTAATGTAATGTTCCGGTGACGTGAATTGTGATCACCACCACCAAGACGCCAAAAAATATATTTCAAATTGATGCCCACCGGGCAGATACCAATTTAAATGGCTTTTGATTTCATCGCGTGGATATACCCACTGGAAATTATGAAACTTATTTATTTTGCACCTCAGTGGCACGCAGGCTCCTATTTTTAAAAGTGATATTTCGCCCAGAGTATCTAGTTTTTGTTGGCAGATACATCTCTGAACGTTGACTAATACGTGATTTGAGGTTTTGAAAGAATTAGGCAAAAAACGTAGTCGATGCGTCAAATAATAAAATAACTGGTCGGTCAATTTTCAGAATCTTAGCTATTTCCCAACTGTTGACGAAATACACGACAGTATCCGAAAACAGCAGCTCAAGATAATGACAAAGAGGCACGTAATCTGAATACTTAAACGACATTTCAAGCGGAAGATATCTCAGCTTCCTATCAGCGTGAAAAAATAAAAACGACATTGCTCTTGAGATGTGAACACAATTTATGAAAATGAAAATGAAAAATCCAAGTTGCTTTTTGTAAGAATCGATCGGAAATTATATTAAAACTGAAAATTTTGTTAATTAGACAGTTGCTAATTTATATCATTGTTGATAAGCGTAGCGGTCGAAAATTTCTGACCTTTGCAACCACTTGTGATCCTCTTTTACTTAATTTTTTATCATTTGCATATCTAAATATTATTTGGACCGTAGTATGTTTCCAGTGAAGCAGCGGAAATGTGATTGACGAAATTACATCGCACTTACCAAAATATTACAAATTATAGACATCATAAATTGAATTTTTGTTTCCTTTTGACAAATTACAACAGTATGAAAGTTTAGAAAACACAAGCACCTTGTATGAAAGAGCCGTACTTTTATAATTCGTTATATAAGTCAAATTAATCTCGCATTTTGATTGGTTCTTGCTTGTGATCTATTGGAGGACAGATCGCCTCGTGTGCCACTTTTTTGTCTTTACTACACTTTGACGTCATCTGTGATCTATTCCTAAACAGACACAAAGTAACATGGAACTTATTTGTTGATTAAAAAGATAGAACGAACTGTTGCCGTCACCATGGCATTGACAAAGAGAATTTACATTTCGATGATCATAATGTAGGAGTGATTTGAAAGTTCGGCACAACTCAAAAAAAAAAAACACTGAGAAAACACGAGCAGTAGGCGAGCGTTCCCACAACGTTTCTCGTCATCCGGAACTTCCTCTTGTGTTTCTACTGAAGCAGTAGAGCACTTTCCCTTGTTTACATAGCCTCATCTAAACACGCGGGTGATTAGGAGAATTCGAGAAAGTTAAGGAAACCCGAAACGCAGTCGAAGATTTGTATAACCTTCGAGAATTCTCCCGGAAAAACGTATTCTATTGCTTTTATAAAATATTTCTCAAGTATACCTGCGAATCTAAAAAAGAAAACCATCACAACCGTGTTTACATACTATCATCTAAACACACCTCTCGACCAATGAGAGCGCGCGTAGTATCTCAGTTATTTTATAAAACCTGGTAGAAACACTGAATATGTTTTCTCAGTATTTCATTGATTCTTTTTGTATTCGTTGAAAATGACAGGCAGCAAATTATAAATAGTCGTCATCCGTTGATCCTGACAAAATTTGCATTTAATTACACTTTATTTAGAGTAGCACCAATATTTGCTCAAATGAATCTAATCCATGTTAAAACCAAGTTTACAACTGATGCTTTCAATGTTCACCGAAATTCGAACGACATTGCTTCTAATACCTTAATATTTACATATTTCATTTCCGTACTACATTTACACGAATGAAAAAAATGAACCACATTTTGAAGGGAACTTGTCAATCAATTTCATAATATATGATTGATGTTTTGATTTAACTTTACCAGCCACGTCAAGTTTCCATAGTAATTCACTATACTTCCTAGTTTTTTTTACGTTCACTTCTTGGATTAATCAGGCATAATTCTGAGACAATAGCAAGCAAATTTTTTTCAAATAAAGGGTTTGTAGGTAATCTTTTTTTTTCAACTTTATATTTAAACATATTCTTAATAGTGGCGTTTGGCTCTTTTAAAATTCCTGAACGAGACACAAAAGAAGCAAAAATAGAATATTTTCCCCCGAGGACAAATTTGAAATAACCTTAAGCGTTGAATACACATGTTTTGGCTATTTCGTTTAAATTTTCAATCGCACTATACTTATTCAAAAATTAACAAAAAGCTTCGCATTTCATTACTTAATCTTGTAGGTGGCAGTGTTACAGAATTTAACTGAACAATTAGCTGAAATTTGGTCGGCTTACAATGGCCTATAAATATTATTTTCATATTTTTGAATAACTAAAGCATACTTCAATATTTTTCCTACACGTACATCGATCGATTACAAAAATCTCTACTCAAATTATCACGCTGTTTCTTGCAACACCCAGTTTGAGGTATTTCGAAACATCGATCAAAACAAGTTACCATACAATAGTGAACCATAAAATTCATTAAACTTATCTCAAAATTAACACTGAAATCTTGCCGTAAATCATCATCTTATCTCAAACTAAATCGTTCTAAAATGCGTCCGAACTTTAACTTTCCTTTTATTTTGGTTGTTGTTACAAACAAATCTCCTTTGATACTTTTTAAAAACACTAAGCAACTTGCGGAGTGCTAAATCAACTGCGGGTGTAGGGCGCAGTCCTTCGATTTTTGAACTAACTAATTCATTATAAAAGACAAATGTTTTCAGTTTTGTGCTGTTGACTGGGAAGGGATTAACATACGATATGTCAAATTGACGCTGACCTTCGCTTGGAAACCTCTCTCCTTCACTATTGCCTCCTTATCTAACTGCGAAGATTGTCGAAGAATGGTTAAAGTCACACCAATAATCGGTGTTTAAAACTGAACAACATTAAGCTGTTGAAAGTTTACCCGAGAAAAGTAAATTTGCCTGCACCTGCGTCAAGTATCGTGTGAAAATAATACACTGATATCCTTGTATAGTTCGGTCATTGTTTGCAGTGGTCACAAAGCTATAATTGTAATAAATTTTGCTAAAACGTAAATTATAGTTGAATTGCGTGGAGTAAAATGAGGCTTACCTTTCCCAGTTAGGCCAGTGTTTAGATGTTTGGTGCTGACTGTCGAGCACAGTGGCCGTCACTTCACTTAAAATAGCGATGGAAATATTGACTAGTGCCTTTGGGGTCAATTTGCATGTTCATTGAGATGTAGGAAAGTTCAAGCTGCTCGCGCGCTTAAAAATAGCGAAATGATTGCTTTGTTGTATAAACCCTTGCTTCTTTATTTGTTTGCTAGCAAGATTCGCCTGAGTTTCAAAGGGTTCAATCAGACCGTCGAGCTCCCATGGCGCAATCTAATTTACAAGTCATTTTCAAGTTTCTTTGCGAATTCATGTTTTATTTACTGGGTGAAAAGCTGACTTGAAAAACTCTCATTCTTCTCAGTATATTCACCATTTGACTAACCACATGTAACGCTGAGTATGCTTGAAACCTTTTTTAAAATAGACCCGAGACGACAACCAAACTGAATTAACCCACAGTGCTCAGTTTTTATCATCAGTACGTCTTCATGCTTTAAAACACGGTTTTTCGCTGATTTCGATGGGCTGTTTCAGTTTCTCATTAATTAATTTGACGCTTTTAGTTTACACGGATGACGTTAGGGCGCGAGATACATTGTGCGTGAATTTTAGATCCAGGGTGACAACTCTCCACGCCAACATGTCGGTTCTCGAAGCATCGAAACTTGCAACGTCTTTGTGCCTGGACTGGTCACCCGAGAGAGTTTTCTTAGTTTGTCGACAAAGCTGAACCCAGATAAACGATAATTTCTTCTTCTCAATGTCATTTAGATTTCGTCTCTTACAAATGTTCCTTACTAACGTAAAAAAATAATATTCAGGGTTATTTCAGAGGAAAAGCCGCAGCGAGGGACTAAAAAAACAAACTCCCCTCATTTATGTACTTCTGAGTTCACTTTAGTGTGCAAGCAGTGAAAAACTTGGGGTGATGATGTTACGTTTTGCTTTAAATTTGTCGAAATGCGCCACGCTTCGACGACTTAGCTTCAATCAATTCTTGGTTTAAAGTTTCTTGTTTGGTGTGAATGTAATTTTAATTTTCGCCAAATTAAATGGCGACATGTAGCTCCAGATCAAAACAAGGAAGATCGCCTGCCTTTGTAGCAGGAACTGCTGAGCGCTGTATATCTTCAAACAAAGAACCTGACCAGCATGCACCGTGAAGCTTTTAAAAGGAACCTACAATACGACAAAAAGGCCAACAATGTACTAACGGAATATCTACCCAGTAAAATTTTCTTTTGTATCAAAGTAAAAAAATCTCATCATATTGTGCTTGTTCCTAGCTACAACACCAGTTGAAGAATACCTGCAAATTTAATTATCTATTCCGATAAACTTGTTAAGGAAACGTTCATTGTTCATCGACGGACTTGGTTAAAATTGAAAACGCAGAATGTTTTGGTAAACTCAATTATTTCCTACTCAGCAAGCCGTATAGCCACCTTCCTCTGCAATCGTTTTATTGCTTTTTGGTTTCAAAAACTATCTAGTCATTGTTTTCAATTAAATTGGGAATTCAAA